CCGACCTTAAATGTGAATCTATAAATATTCCAACTCTATTGATTTTTATTTTTTGGCCATGATCATTAGCGGAAATTTTTTCAAAGCTAGGTAATAATTTTGAATAGGATGTAAATGCAATAAATTTTGTTTTTTTGAAGTTAACTGTTTTATCATCAAACCAGTCAATGATCTTCATAAAATCCTTTTCAGCGATTTGCTTCAGTGTACTTTAGTCATCAGCTTTATGAGGGGCATCCAGCATTTCAAATACTTAGCATGTCAGTCTAAGTGAGAGTAAAGCATATATGATTTTCTAACAATAAGTGTATATATACGGGTGTCCCAGAGGTCGATGTCAAGCCGAAACCGGGTGATAGGCAAAGTCATAACAGCTATCAGAAAAATATTTAAAAAAATTTTATGTATGAGTTTTGAAAATTATAGGTCTTTGAAAAAAATATAGAAATTGCACAACCTACGGCAGTCTGTCAACTCCTGTTACTACAAATATTAACTTTTTTTGGATTTTATTTTTACAGTGCATTGATGAATAATGCATCTTCAAACTGGTGTCTCAAGCTTACTGCCAACTTTTCTCGTTCAGGAAAAATTGCCACTTATTTCCCAACCAAGTATTCCAAAGTAAAACTTTGCTCAACTTGAACTGGCTGTACTGGAAGAAAATGTACTACGAGAGTTTGGCCAGTAACCTTAAAAGTTGGAGCATTTAATAAGGATTCCAAAATGGTATAACACTTAGAAGATTACTCGTTAACTTATGCACAATTTTTATTTGAAGGAAAACTGATGAAAATTTTTCAAAATTTAATAATTAAATAGCGATTATGAAAACGCACAAGGACCCTTAAGGATAACTGTTTGCACAACAGTGGGCGTCAAAATGCTGCTGGTGATGATTTACCTTTACAGAAAATGCTCAAACTGTTTTCCTTCAGCCGCAATACACGCTCGACATCTTCTTAAAAAAGATCGGGTTATTAAACGAGCTAATCCACGGTTATTAACAAACTCAGCTGCTTCCAATAGTCTTTGCCGTAGCTCAGCTACATTTTGAATCGGCTTGAAATCCACTTTTTCTTTTACGGTTCCCCAGTAAAAAAAATCTAACGGATTCAAATCTGGTGACCGGGCTGGCCACGATATTGTACCAGACCGCCCTATCCATCTGTCTGGAAAGTTTTGATCGAGATACTCTCTCACTGAGAGTGCATAGTGCGCTGGGCAGCCATCATGCTGGAACCACATGTCCCTGTAAATACTCAGTGGCACGTCCTCCAATAAATTTTCTAAATGATTTTGCAAAAAACCTAAATAAACCTCAGCAGTCAAAGCCCCTGGGAACTCAAACGGACCGATTATTTTACCATTTAAAATTCCTGTCCAATGGTTTATCTTGAAGCGATATTGAGATTTATCTTCTCTCATCAAATGTGGGTTTGCTACGTGCCACTCGTGTAAGTTATGCAGGTTCATGACCCATCTTTCTTAAATGTGGTCTCATCTGACTATAAGATTTTTTCAAAGAACCGTGGATCTTCCCTGTGTCTTTAAAACATTGTGCGACAAAAAGCAACTCGGGGCTCATAATCCCAGGGCAGAAGAGCTTGAACACGCTGTACGTGGTATGGATGGAGCACGTTTTTTTGCAAGATTCTATTGGCTGTACTTTTGGGCACACCTGTTTTCTGTTTTCTTCGACAGCTCCTGGCACCACGTCTTCGTAAGGAAGGAATGATCTTCCCTCACCGTGTGATTGGTTTGGTAGTTGGCCCTCCGAGAACAGTAAGCGGTGCACATTTGTGTACCTCTCACAGTAAAGTCTCGCTGCAGCACTAGCGTTCTATCTGCATTCCCCATAAATGAGGTGCATGTTGGCATATTCTTGTACGGTGTACACGGACATAGCGGCACTGCACAATCACACTATCAAAGATAGTCTAAGGAAAGCAAATGTTGTCTTGAAGAGCAATTAATTAGTCCAAATCCAAATCACAAGCGATCAACATTCCAGTTCACGAATCCAAAATTAGTAACAGTACGAAATCAACAAGCACGAACATGTAAAGATGCGCAGTAAACGAAGGAGTGCTGATCGGTGTCAAAGTGTGCAATAGCAACTAAGTGATGTGCTTCATCCATACCACATACAGCGTGTTCAACCTCTCCTGCCCTGGGATTATGAGTCCCGAGTTGCTTTTTGTCGGACAATGTTAGAAAGACATAGGAAAGATCCACAGTTCTTTGAAAAAATTATATGGTCGGATGAGACCACATTTAAGAAAGATGGGTACATGAACCTGCATAACTTACACAAGTGGCACATTTGATGAGAGAAGATAAATCTCAATATCGCTTCAAGATGAACCATTGGACAGGAATTTTAAATGGTAAAATAATCGGTCCGTTTGAGTTCCCAGAGACTTTGACTGCTGAAGTTTATTTGGATTTTTTGAAAAATTATGTACAAAATTTATTGGTGGACGTGCCACTGAGTATTTACAGGCACATGTGGTTTCAGCATGATGGCTGCCCAGCGCACTATGCACTCTCAGTGAGAGAGTATCTCGATCAAAGCTTTCCAGGCAGATGGATGGCGGTCTGGTACAATACCGTGGCCAGCCCGATCACCTGATTTGAATCCTTTAGATTTGTTTACTGGGGAACTTTAAAAGAAACAGTGTATTTCAAGCCGATTCAAAATGTAGCTGAGCTACGGCAAAGACTATTGGAAGCAGCTGAGTTTGTTAATAACCGTGGATTCGCTCGTTTAATAATCCGATCTTTTTTAAGAAGATGTCGAGCGTGTCTTGCGGCTGAAGGAAAACAGTTTGAGCACTTGCTGTAAAGGTAAATCATCATCAGCAGCATTTTGATGCCCACTGTTGTGCAAACAGTTATCCTTAAGGGTCCTTGTGCGTTTTCATAATCGCTGTTTAATTAGGAAATTGTGAAAAATTTTCATCAGTTTTTTTTCAAATAAAAATTGTGCATAAGTTAACGAGTAATCTTCTAAGTGTTATACCATTTTGGAATCGCTATTAAATGCGCCAACTTTTAAGGTTACTTGCCAAACTCTCGTAATACGTGTTTTTCCAGTACAGCCAGTTAAAGTTGAGCAAAGTTTTACTTTGGAATTCTTGGTTGGGAAATAAGTGGCAATTTTTCCTGAACGAGAAAAGTTGGCAGTAAGGTTGCGACACCAGTTTGAAGTTGCATTATTCATCATTACATTGTAAAAATAAAATCCAAAAAAAGTTAATATTTGTAGTAACAGGAGTTGACAGACTGCCGTAGGGTGTGAAATTTCTATATCTTTTTCAAAGACCTATAATTTTGAAAACACATACACCAAATTTTTTTAAATATTTTTCTGATAGCTGTTATGACTTTGCCTATCACCCGGTTTCGGCTTGACGACGACTTCTGGGACACCCTGTATATATATGTTTGCTATTACGGGAAGACGGAATTTGGTAACTAAATTGAAATGGCTTATTTTTGGACTTCAATACTTTAATTTCTACCAAGATATATGCCCAAGGTGTACCGCTTTTAGCATTTGATCGTAGCGCCGCATTGCACAATCGTCAAACCAGACAAACATATTTTCAGCGCTCTCCCGGAGAACTAAGACAAACATTGCAAAACGCTGCTTCTCAAAAAGGTAACAACACTGATAACTGCTACCTACAAATAGTGATACATCTCCGGCCCACTCAATGAAAATGATACAGGACCTTCTTTCCGGTACGACCAATCCGATCCACATATTTGCTGTTTACAGCACTCTACATGCATAAATTCAGAGCTTCTGCCTGTGAACTCGAGAATAACAGACTAGCAGCGACTTACTCTATTACGAGAGACCTGGAAGTTATCACTGCTTCTGGAGGCAACCGGCTTTCAAAACGCAGTACAGAATACCTAGGATTTGATCTGGCACGTCAATACCGGTAGCTGTTGGGAAACTTTGCTTAGAGCTATAAATACTTTCGTCTACATTACCTGTACAAGGCACAGATAAGACCTAGCCTCGAGTACTGCTTTTTGGGGTGCTGGTGCCCAGACAGCATTGGCTCGATATTGCTCAGAAGAGAGCTTGTCTAACAGACAGTTTCGGGACCTTTCCGGATCGACTAGCACTTTCTACCGCTCCTCAGGGCCCTCCTCCACGATGCCGCCCCGCAAGTTTCTTAATATGCAAATAAAACTAATGTCATTTTATTTTATTTCTTTCATACACGCCCATGGCGGCTCAAGCTTAACAGCGCTATTTAAAAGAAGAATTATTTCTCGACGAACGACAAGTCTTAATGGGGATGTCACGCTGCCAATGTGTCTACTTTTTGTGAGAGAAAGGCTTTTCTCGTCTAAGTGCTGTTTGCAACTCTCAAGTAGCTGTTTAATCCCACTTTCATGCCCTATCAGTAGGGAGTATAAGCACCCAATAATCTAATTTCGTGATTGTCCAAAATTATTTCACGACACAAATTCTGCCTATAATAAACTATCATAAGATCTTGAAACCTACGTGGCCCTATGGTGTTCAACTATGCGGCTATTCCATGAATTCGAACAAAGAAATTGTGCAAAAGTTCCAAAATAATGTTCCGTGGGATGTCTAACGCGATTTGAATATGCGTCTGGTCAAGGAAACCGCGACCGATACGGAAGCTCTTCAGCCGTTGGACAACCACCACGATGTCCGATCAAACCTTACGGAAGTGTGTAGTGTTTTGTGTCTAAAGTAGAACGTGTGCGAGCGTATTATAGTAATTATACGGTAAGATCGTCCAAGGAACAGCAATAGATTGACTTTAATATTTGGGTATTAAAGAAACTCTAAAAAAATTACTCTCCATGTTCTGCTGACCTATATCACGAATGATTGATGTTTACCTCAAATCAGATGTGGTCTTAAAGCTATCGAAACCTGCGTGGGCTATAAATTCGAGAAAGTATAAAAAGCATCATCATGTCGAGTACTCGCATTCAAACTAACTTGACGTCATGACCTTCGAGAGTTCACGAATCTGACACTTGACATTTCTACTGTATTTTTGCTGCATACCTGAGAGATGGAGGAGTTTTCCTCAGAACTTATACTTCAGAAGTCCTCCAGCCTGTTGGTGCCCAAACGCGTCGGATTCGGTTACTTGCCGATAGATATACTTGTGAGAATATTCGAATACTTTGATGAAGACGAACTGCGTACGAATATCACCAGGGTGTGTCAGCAATGGAGGGCTGCTGCCGAAGTTCCGAGACTTTGGAACACTTTGAAGTTTCAGGGGCGTGCTATCGAAACAGATTTGATTTGCAACAAGATTTATCAGTTTCGTGATGTTACCAAGATTATCATAAAAGCTGTTCTTGGTAAGTTTTTTAATAGAAAAATGGTTATCCTCTTTGTAAAGCATCAAACCTTGAAATAAGTTGCTAAAAATGATTCAGGAAAATCTTGATCACAAAATTCCTTGTCTGTGTATTTTTTCCACCTAATAAAAGCTCTTGGCACAGGAAACTATAAATTATTGTTGAAGAAATTTGGAGTTCGGGAAAAAACATACTGATTACTATAAATTTACTTATCCGACAAATAGTAATCCGTTAAAGTATCAAAAATTTTCAGTCACAAAATGTTTCTCAAGTGTGGCGTCCGACAGAGCACCGTTTTGGGTTAACTACTGTTTGATATACATTTAAATGATATATTTCAAATTGACTGTACGTGAAAAATAGTAAGATTCCCAGAGGACACAACAGTTTTTTGTTGGTCTCGTTTAAAAAGTATATTTGAAACTGATTTTGTCGAAAGTATAATAACAAGAATTTTAGCATTAATAACTCTAAAACATATGTTTTACCATTTCCTCCATATTCCCCATTGCGTTGGGATTTTGATATTTTATATACTAAGTGACATATAAATCCGAACACCCAGTTTAAATGGTTTTATTTTAATAAAAGTTTGTATAAGTACTTAATGAAGCAAAATAAGTAAATGATAAAAATTTCAAAATGATTGCACTGCTTTAAAGCCCTTTGACCTTTAATAATGTGTGGATGCACCCTTATGTGCTACGCATTCTCCAACGCGCCTAGGCATTCTTCTGATCAGGTGGTCAATGTCCTCCTGTGGTATCTCATTCCAGGCAACCACCAACTCCTCTCGAAGTGCTTCTAGAGTCTGAGGAGAACGTTGCAAATTGAGCAATCTCCTACCCATCATATCCCACACGTGCTCAATTGGGGATAAGTCGGGAGATCTTGGTGGCCATGGTAACAATGTGACATCATTATGTTGAAAGAAGTCTATTGTGACTCTTGCAACATGTGGTCGGGCATTATCTTGTTGGAAAGTTGGATCTGCCAGGGTGTCAAGATAGGGTAAAAGATGGGGTTCTAGAACTTCGTGGATATAACGCTGCGCATTCATGTTACCTCTGATGAAGATTAAAGGTGACCTGGAACCATAAACTATAGCACCCCAAACCATAACTCCAACAGTGTGATGAACATGTCTTTCAACAAAAAACTGTGGACTCCTCCTTTCACCACGTCGCCTTCTAACCCTGGCACGACCATCGTGCATGCCTAAACAAAATCGAGACTCCTTTGGGATTAAATTATAAAGTTATAATATGATCGTATTTTTTAGATCCTATGATTGTTTTGAGGCAAATCTGCAGACGATGCAAAGACTTAACCTACCTAGTCCTAAGGAACTGTCCCGAAATATCAGAAGACAGTCTTCGATATCTACTCGTCGCCTGCAAGCATCTGCAGTCACTAGACTTGAAAGGAACCCCTTTTAAAGCTCTCATTCTTTTTGAAGAATTGCCTCATTGCCAAGAGATGAGGTCTATCAACTTAGGGGGTAACCCACATCTCAGCATGAAGAACGTAACCACTCTAGTAATGAACTGTCAGCATCTCGACGGTTTCCATTTGGGATCTTTCCAGCCTAAAGATAGAGTCGACCTCAATGATGGTACCTGTTACCTCATCCTCAGGAAGCTTGTCCATAACTTAACCCATCTGACCCTTGATTGCTCCAGTCTGAGCGCCGCTACATTTGCTTCAATCTGCCGTTGCAGACACTTGGAGTATCTCTGTCTCAACTATGCCTACAACTTCAGAGGTTGTGACTTTCAAAACATGTGGAAGACATTGACGAAGTTGAAGGTGTTGAAAATACGGAATGGACATCTGATAAGTGAAATCAACTGCATTAGGCTTTTTACCGAAGGTCAGGAGATAATGAGGAATCTTGAGGTCGTAGACCTTACAGGTTGTGGTAAGATAGCAAACGGTAGCATTCAAGCTATCTCCAATTGTTGTAAGAAAATCAAGAGGCTTATTGTAAAAAGTTGCAAGCATATTACGACAATTGACTCACTGGTTGAAGAATGTCCAGAGCTTGAAGAGTTGAACATCGGGTTCTGTGTGAACATCAAGTTTGATGCGGTACCACATCATCTAAAGAAACTGTTTATATGCGATACCGTCAAACACAGAATGTTCGCTAGACAAGTGATACAACAGTGCCAAAGATGTGAAGTGAGAGTATGTTTATCCGAATTCAATAAAGAAACCAAAATATTTGTATACGAGTAAGTCAAGGATATTTTGTATATACAGGGTGTAAACGTTATGGTAGTAATTACACTGGACAACAAATTTTAGTTTTTTATTGTATCTTGTGGGAAAAGTGCACTTCTTTGTTAATTTTGGGGCGCTGAATCCAAAAATGACAATGAAATAAAAAAATTAGTTGCGGTTTAGAAAAAAAAACTTTTTATTTTTAAGGATATATTAAAAAAAGTAACAAGATTCATATACTTATAAGGATCACTGTATGCGCTGTCTTTTTGCTGTTCTTTTATGGATCGTTTCTGGAGCATCTCTACCAAGAGTCCAACAGTAGTCTGCAAGCATGGAAGGATTCCACTTTCCCTGGTACCTTTTTTCCATTGTTGAAATATCCTGATGAAAACGATCGCCGATCTCATCACTTACGGCTCCGCAATTGTCAGGAAAAAAGTCCAGGTGTGAGTGTAGAAAATGTATCTTAAGAGACATATTACAGCCCATCTTTTGATACGATGACAGCATATTTTTGACAAGGGTTTTATAGTTGTCAGCTATTCTATTTCCCAAGAAATTAGTAGCCACCAGACGGAAATCATTCCAAGCAGTTTTTTCAATACCTGTTTTCAAACTGTGTATCTTTCAAAATATTTCGAATCTGTGGCCCAACAAAAATACCTTCTTTAACCTTTGCCTCACTTAGTCTTGGAAATTCCTGACGCAGGTATTGAAAAGCTGACCCATCTCTATCTAATGCCTTGACAAAGTTTTTCATTAGGCCCAACTTGATATGCAGTCGTGGTAATAAATTTTTTTTCGAATCTACTAATGGCATATGCTATACATTTTTTTGACCTGGCTCTAGGAATTGACGAACAGGCCAGTTTTGTCTGGTGTAATGAAGTGCCTTTGCCCGACTGTCCCATTCACACAAGAAACAGCAAAGCTTTGTGTAGCCTAGCTGCAGCCCAAGTAAAAGTGCAACAACTTTCAAATCGCCACAAATATGCCAGTGGTGCTCATCGTATTTTATGCATGTCAATAGGTACTTCGTATTGTCATATGATTCTGTCATGCGAACTGCATACCCTACAGGAAGAGATGGTAAAATATTTCCAATATGCAATAACACTGCCTTTAAACTCAATGTTGAACTGTCTATAAACAATCTCCATTCTTCTGGGTTATAGTTTATATTTAAAGCCGCCAGTAAGCCGTTAATGTTACTGCAGAAAACCAAGTTATTCTCCATATTGAAAAATGGTTCTAAGTCTTTGTGGCATTTACGAAAAACACATACCGAAACATCGTCTTCTAACAAGTTCCACTGCTGCAGTCTTGATCCAAGTAACTCTGCCTGACATTTTGGAAGTTCTAAATCTCTTACTACTCTTACTAATTCTGACTGTGTTATTTTGTGCGATTGGTGGCATGACGTGCTCGGTATAAAATCAGGATCTTTTGACGTTGATGGCATATCTTCTTCCTGACGAATCACTCGATCGCCATGATCTGATTCGTTTTCTGAATCGAAAATGTAGGATTCTGGGGGTTTTGGAATAGGATTTTCGTCACTGTGAATCACAGGTCTCATCGCAGATGGTATGTTTGGATAGTTAATAACCGATTTTTTTTTCTTGGACATACCTGTGGCTTGTCCAACACAAGGTACCATGCCAAAGTAACAATAATTAATATGATTTGTAGGCTCTCTCCAAACCATTGGGACAGCAAAGCGCATAGACCGTTTTTTGCCATTTAACCAGCTCCTCAGACATGAAGCACATGTATTACAGCAGATGTGGGGTGCCCACTGTTTGTCTTGATCACCTAGTTTACAACCGAAATAAAGCTGATAGGCCTTTGTTATTAGTGGAGTAATAGACCGTCTCTGAGATGCAAAAGTCACATCACCACACACGTAACAAAACTGATCTGGATTGTTTACACACTTTCGAGACATCTTGCATGAACGCTGTCAGCCAACTGAGGAAAAAATGGCTAATATAAAACAATATAATGTACACGTATGTATAACGTAACACAATCATGCCGATTACATCATCTTTCGTTGCCGAATATAAAAATGTAGCACGTGCATTCTTGTGAATTACAGTATATTAACACTGTCACAGCAGGAACACATATAATTACCGTATCTCTAAAACTTGAACTAATATTGAAAAAATAAGTTTCATTCCGGTTTTAGCACATTAAAAATAGTAATATTCTGTTGATTTTATTTAGGATATTTTTTGGCTGTTGATCGATGTTATTGAAATGGGTAATAGGGGGAGTCGAAACAAGTCAAAAAGTTCGTATGACCCATGGTCCAAAAAACAATGGATCTTTGTCTAAATGGCTTTATGGTTTACAACTTTTAGTACTTCATGTCGACCACAATAACCACAATATTCCTAATTTTTATAATTTAATCTAAAACTTTTTTAAATTTCGTAATTAACAAATAAATGGCCTTAAGTTTTTCTAAGTTAAGCCAAAATTTGTCTTCAGTAAGTAAGTTTCATTAAATTAAATATTTAAAACACACGTGACAACAGCGCGTCGGCCTTTCATCACCCTTATCGAACCGGCAATCGATCGCAAACGGTAACAGTGGTTAGTTATCGGGCATCGGATGTGTTGTTTTGTTTTTGTTCGCGTACGTCGTTGTGTTTATTTACAATATTCTCGAATCAAGAGTTCGCCGACATGTTAGTTTACGGTGAAGCTAAAGGAGAAGGATACCTCAGCTTTCTATCCAATAAACTACCAGAACGTTTGGAACAGACCTTAGACAACATGCCATTACAACGGAGACATAATTTGTGGCTTCCTCATGACGGGGCACCGCCACACATTTTTAGAGGGGTCATTCAGTATTTGAATAACCATTATCCAAATCGCTGGATCGGTCGAAACGCTCCTGATCCTCGAAAAAGGCCAGCAAGGTCTGCTTACCTCAATCCGATGGATTTTTGGTATTGGAGAGAACTTAAAGGGATGGTTTATGGGGCTGGTCCAATAAAAACTGAAGCACAACTTCGTGAAAACAAATTTAATGCTGCTGAAATAATAAATAGACATCTTCGAGGACCTAGAGTAAGAAGAAACTGGGTTCAGTTCCTCGGTATTTTGAAGTATGCCTGGGAGACAACATGGAAGCTCTTATTCTCAAAAATTGCGCTGAGTATGTTGACTATGCACTTTTACTGATACCAAAAATGTAACATTTACAATAATTCAACTCCTCCAATATGCAATTTCCAATAAAATTTCTAAACGTGAGCAGGGATATCTGGAACGCCCATCTCCTCCCCAATTCTTCGGCAATTTATCCAATACTATATTCGGGATTTTCACCTTTGACTTTACCGCGCTCATCAATGCTGAACTAAAAGAAGGCAGACAGAGATCTTTTTGGTACATTGGAATATTTCGTCTGCTTCCTCTCTGCTTGAGGATTGTAGTTCTGTATTTCAGCATCATACCGCTTCTTGTCGATTTCAGACATCCAAAAAACAAAATACCTCATTTTCAAAACTTTTGTCCATTACAGTACATCCTCCCCAGTGTGGTACGAGAAGTAAAACTCGATTTTTTTGAAAACTTTTTATAAAGGTTTGCCTTAACAAATTTGCACCAGTTTATCTCACGGCAGCCCTTTGATTCATCCAAAGTAGTGTTCAAAAAGCGTGATTACGAAAGTCGAGGTGTAAAATTTTTCACAAAGTTTCCAGATTTTCGCGTCGTCTAAAAGCTGCATCATCTCAGAAGCTACCCCAACTAATAGCTATTAAACGATTCACCGCCTGTACTGAAACGAAACAATTACGTATTGTGGCAACAGGCTTTCCATTGTAGCTTGTTCGCGAACAAAACGCAGCAAAAGCGCCAGTAAAGCCGTTTTGAAATCCAGAATCCAGATGTCCGGAGCAGCCAGGAACCGGTTGTTTTCTAAATAGAAACTGTAATTAATTATCAGGTTTGTGGGGATGAGGAAGAGAAACGTGCATCCGCACGTGGTGGAGAAGCCGAGGAGCTTTAGAAATTGCTTGGAAAATCGACACACTGCACAGTTGCTAGCCTATAAAACACTGTACAAGATTGAATTAGTAGCTCATTAATTTCACATTTCTCGTGGACTAGACCTTAGTGCCTCAATGGATTCTGTTTGACCTCGACATTTATACAAGGTGCTCCAAAAATATTGGGTAGGCGTTTCTGCATCTGTAACTAGTCCTGAAATAACAATTCCGCCAATAATAATACGCGCCTCTTCCCACTTCAGTTGGCCCACTTCAAGATTTGTACCAAAATATGCCTTCATAAACTAAACATGACGAAACTATTTACTTCTAAAACAATTTATTCTCTCAAAAACATTTTAGATACACCCTAGTCGTAAAAAATAAATATTTGAAATCACTTAGCCTATAACTAATAGAACATCTGAACAAGTAAACAATGTGCGAATAAATGCGCGAAGTTAACAAAGCAACAATTGAATGATTATCATTGGTTAACATCACCTTTATTTTTTATTACGGTTGAATTCTTTGGGGCATAGTGTTAACCAAGTTTTGGCAAAAATTTTGTGTAAAGCAATCCCATACTTCTTGAAGCTTTTGTCTCAGTTCGATGATTGTACGAGCAGGATGTTGTCGTAGAACCTTTTTCATCTCGGGCCACAAAGTTTCAATAGCTGACAGATCTGGACTGCTAGAAACCCATTTCAAAAGTGGTACATTATTTTCGTCCATCCATTTTATCGCCTTTCTTGAGGCTGCACCATCTTGCTGAAACACCAAATCTTGGTCGGATGTCAAACATTCCTCCATAACTGGTAAAAGCGATTCTTCTGAAATTGCCAAATATTTGTTTGTATCCACATTTCCATCAATAAAATGAAGTTTTCCTACTCCTTTTGATGACATACTGCCCCAGACCATAATGGATGCTGGAAATTTCACTTTTCTCTTCAGACAGTCAACATAGAATGCTTAATTTTTTTGGCGAATAACTCTACTGCGACTGTTATCAACACAAACTTCGAATCGGGCATCATAACTCCATCGTATTGCACACCA